CTGGGTGCTTTTTTAAATGCCTGCTTTTCCCATTTAATGATAAACTTCATGTATCTTGTTCTCTAGAGCACAGAACAGCTTCAAAACACAGTATATAGTAGATATTCAATAAATACATGTTAGAAGATGAAATCAGATATGGGTAACAGATCTTTAGACATCAGAATATCATAAGCTTATACTTATTACAGCGGTTGAGAGAAACATTTTTGAGTGACCTCCACAATGCATATAAATTAGGATTACATTAATAATTTCACAGTTTTAACAAAGACTAATAAAGTAGGAGGGTGTTAGCCTCTTCATGGACTTAAGTGGGGAGTACCGCTAGCTACCCTGAAAAACCTGTTTAAGCTCCTAAATTCTTCAGTGCCCCAGATTTCTAGAATTGAATTCTACACATAAGACAGTGAAGCACCAACTAAATAAGAAAATGCATGGTAAAGTGTGTTGGTAGTTACAAAGCGGATTTGGGGAGGGAATAGCCAAACAAGAAATCAGAGAGGAGGCGAATTTTAACCAGAGCCTTGGAAGAAGTGGGGGATTCTCACAGGCAGCTATGCTGTGGAAGGACATTCTAGGGGAGGAAGCAGCAGAAGTAGAGACATAGAGGGAGGCAGAGAGAGGACATAGGGACTCTCGGTAGGCTGTCAGCGCACTATGGGAGAAAAGGGGACAGATCTCACAACAGGAAGCATTAACAAGAGATAAAATTAAAAAGACATGGGTCTCTATCCTGGTTGAGCTTAGGAATCTCTCTCTCTCTCTCTTTTTTTTTTTTTAAGACAAGGTCTTGCTCTGTCACTCAGGCTGGAGTGCAGTGGTGTGACCATAGCTCACTGCAACCTCCACTTCCTGGTCTTGTGATCCTTCTCTCTCAGCCTCCCAAGTAGCTGGGATTATAGGTCTGCACCACCCTATCTGGCTAGTTAAAAATTTTTTTTGTAGCGACGGAGAGGGGGTTCTCCCTTTGTTGCCAAGGCTGGTCTTGAACCCCTAGGCTCAAGCAATCCTCCCACCTCAGCCTCTCAAAATGCTGGGATTACAAGTGTGAGCCACCATGCCCAGCCAGAAATCTCTCTTAAATTCTCTGAGCCTTATAATTCACCTGCCCCGCCCTGCCTATCTCACACAGCTTCTGTGAGAATTAAGCGAGACAAAGTATGTCAAAAGGCTCTGCAAATACTAATGTAACATATCATTGCTAGCGAGTACAACAGAGGGAAAAGACAAGTTATGGAGGGCCTTAAATGCTATCTAAGGATTATGGATATGATTCTTTACAGATGCGGGAGTTGTTGAAGGCTCTCTAGAAGAAGTAATAGGATCAGGTTTAGCCTTTAAAAAGATAAGTCTGACTGCAGTGACTAGAGTGGCCTGGAAGAGCTGGAGGCCCAGAGACCAGCTGCGGCAGAGCAGACATGCACCTGAAAGGCAGCAATGCCATGGAATGCACTAGAAAATGCAGGTGAGGGATAGACTAGAGAGAGTGGGTTACTAGGAGCAGACACTGGTAGTAGTACCCTCAAGCCCTGTACTGTCTAACAGGAGCCCCAAGTCACATGTGGCTAAGAGCACCAGAAATGTGGCTGGTTCAAATTGAAATGCACTGTATAAAATGCACACCAGATTTAAAGTTTTAGTTAAAAAATGTAAAATATCTCAATAACTTTTTATATTAAAATACGAGTATGTTGAATATATTGAGTTAAATGAAATATATCATTAAAATTAATTTCACCTGTTTCTTTTTACTAGTTTTTAGTATGGCTGCTAGAAAATCTTAAATTACACGTGGTTTACGTTTTCATTCTACTGGACAGCACTGGTCTGGCCTCTTTTGGCCACAGCTGCACCACACTTCCGCCTTCTCTCCAATGATGAGGACTCCTTGCCCTTCAGAACAGTCAAAAACAAAAAACTAGAAACCTGCCCAGAGTCACCCCTCCAATAACTCCCGTCTCCCACAGCAACTGGTATATATTTCTGCCAAAGCACCTCCCACACTGTTGACCTCTCTCCTTGTTCACTGGATTGTGAGTTCCTAGAGTGCAGAGGCACACCAAGCTCATCTGTCTCCCAGGGAGGAAGCCAAGCCCAGCTCTGAGGGCACCATCTTCATCCCTTAGTAGAGAACAATCCGGCATGCCCTAGGCTGTGCATCCTTTTCTTCACTCAGAACCCAATACCCCGTCAGCCCCACAGGCTCTATCAGCATGGGTACTGGCACGATCTCACACCTGACTCATCTAATTTGTCACATATTTCTCAGAAAAAGCTCAATGTCTAAGCTGTGCCCAGGAATTTACCCTGATATTGAGTGTGGTGAAGTGTGGAGTTAGAACAGGTCTGCGTCTTGGCTCTGCCTCTAGCCATCTATGTGACTAAGAGCAAACTATTTTCTGTGAACCTCAGTTTTCTCATCTACAAAAACTGGAATACTAGCTTCCTATCCTAACAGGCTGTTGTAAGAATTGCTGTAATGGAAGTACAGTAACTAGCATAATGCCTGGCACACTGCAGTACTTTAAAAGTGGGTGCTCTTCTTGCTGTAAGACCCTAAGTCAGACATAATTAGTAAGCTACTGTCAAAGCAAGCACATCCTGTCTCAAGCAACACAAAACCAACAAGTGATAAGTTATCTAATATAGATGCAACCACCTTACAGATCTCCTAGATGACCTACTGTCGACTATTATGTTTAGCCCATATTTATGTGCTTTTGTCACAGTGTCCTTCAACAAACTTACCTTCAGTGAAAAGAACAGTATCTCAGGACATCAAGAGGAAGCCAGGAAACCTAGGTATTGGTGCTGATTCTGCCATTTACTAGCTGTGCAACTCCAGACAATACAAAGCAACTTTCAGGAAGATCCAAGATCTGGCGGGTAGAAGCAGGAGTTGGGGGTGGAGAGCAAAGCCACAGGAAGGGAAACCCTGGAGGCTGCCCCAGCAGGAGGGAGGGGGCAGGCCCTTCTAACAAGTGGGCAGGACTGACAGCAGACAGCCTAGACATCTGAGTTCTGGACCCACTCTGCCCTTATCTTTTTATATATCCTTGAAAAGGGAGAAGAAAATTACATATAATAAGCATGTGTTACAGGCATTCATTTAATTCTGACAACCTGGTGAGATAACAGTGTTATTTTCCTTTGCAGATAAGGAAAATGAGGTTCAGATAAGTTACACAAGTCACCCCAGGCCATACAGCTATTAAATGGTAGAGCCAGGACACATGTTCAACTGTGCCTGATACCAAAATCCCAGCTTCCTCTCTCTGCGCCTTGGCCCTATCATCCCCATGACCAGTGAGCTGAGCGAGGTCATCTGACGTCCTTTCTTGTTCTACCACTGCTTGATTCTTTGTCCCTCACAACTCTTCTTCAGTTTATCAGGTCTTTGCACCCAGGCAGAACTGCATTCATAGCCTGGAAGGGAAAGGTCCTCTCTAAAGAATAAAGGGCGGGCAGGCCATGGCCAAATTCATTTCAACTAGAAAAGAAACAACCATGATCTAGAAGCAATTCTGTGTCTGCATTGGTGATATCCACAAGATGGCTAGGTATAGTTTCATTTGAGTTTCCTGGTTTTCAGCAAAGGGCAAAGGAGACCAGAAGAACCTAGAACCTACAAGATCAAGAACAGGGATCTGTCACAGGGACTCGCCAGCATTCAAAGCAAAGGCCTCCATTTATGGAATGAGGTTTCCTCCCTGCCACATCATGGCCACTATGTGGCACTGGGCAAGCCACACTAGCTTTCAGTCTCGGCTTTCCTAACGGTAAGATGGGAAGACCAAGCCTTGTACTTTTTGCGGGGCACTGTGATAATTACATTATTTGTCATCCTAAAACCACTCTACAAGCTTTTTTTTTTTGAGACAAAGTCTCACGCTGTCACATAGGCTGGGAGTGCAATGGTGCGATCTCAGCGATCTCAGCTTACTGCAACCTCCGCCTCCCAGGTTCAAGTGATTCTCAACGCCTCAGCCTCCCGAGTAGCAGGAGTTATAGTATGCACTACCATGCCCAGCTAGTTTTTGTACTTTTAGTAACGATGGGGTTTTGCCATGTTGGCCAGGCTGGTCTTAAACTCCTGACTTCAAGTGAGCCACCTACCTCAGTCTCCCAAAGTGCTGGATAGCTGTGAGCCACTATGCCCAACCCTACAGGTATATCTTGTTTTACCTAATATTTTCCTGAAAAGGTAAGTAAATATGTTCTGAAGTAAATCATTCTGAAAGTGATAATACCTTAAATATTAATTATCAAAAGACTGGGTTTTCTTCAAAGAAGGCATGCCTTACTTTATACCTTGTATAAACAGAGTTGCTACTTGAGTCGATTTTTGATTATTGGCACAAATAAAGGACCAAAAATTAAACAGGTACCCAGGACAATGGCCAATATAAAAAGTCTTCATACTGCTTTTTAAAATGTGTCATTTGGGCCAGGCGCAGTGGCTCACACCTCTGATCCCAGCACTTTGGGAGGCTCAGGCGGGTGGATCACGGCAGGTGGATCACCTGAGGTCAGGAGTTCGAGACCAGCCTGGCCAATATGATGAAACCCTGTCTCTACTAAAAATACAATAAATTGGCCAGACGTGGTGGCATAGGTCTGTAATCCCAGCTACTCGGGAGGCTGAGGCAAGATAATCGTTTGAACCTGGGAGGTGGAGGTTTCAGTGAGCCAAGATTGTGACTCTGCACTCTAGTTTGGGCAATGGGAGCAAAATTCCATTTCCCCCGCTCCCCCACTAAAAAAGAATCATTTGGCTCAGAAGATTCATCTTTCTAATGTACTTTCTTAAGGTCGATTTTAAATTAGTTCCCTTTCCCTGAGTTCACAGCAAAATTGATAGGAAAGTACTAGGTGGCAGAAGAAAGTCAGTGTTCAACTTTAAAGCCACTGAGGTTAAACCATCAAATGGGTAACTTATGGAAGTAATGGGAGTAGATGGTATGAGGTCTGCCTTGTCTTTGCAATCCCTTTCCTACCTCGGGGAGGCTGCCTTTCTTCAGCGGAGGTAACTGCAGGTAGATGCAACCTAATTTCCCAACTGTAATGGGGGCCCATTACAGTTGCGGGAGGGGAGCCAGAGTGTCACAGGCTGAGTCCATACCCTTCACATTCTTGAATGGTGACTTCAGGAAGCCCTGCTAGAAACAGAAGAAAGAAGGGCGGGCAGGCAGGGGAGGTTATTCTCCAGCCTGCAACAGGCCCCTCTGGAAATTCCTGTTCCACCCTTCTAAAACCTGCCCAGAAACTCCCCTCCCTCAGAAAGCCTTCCTCAATGAACTCAGAATAATGACCACGCCTATTCTTTGCCTCCTCTGGCCCTTAAGCATCTGACTTGTGCTATCATCACAGATCCCTGCCCGTGTATTGCTTTTAAAAGAAACGCATATATTCTACCGTGTGATCTAATAGAATACCTGTCCTGAAGGAGACATCTATTTTTTGTTTCTTTAGCACCAAGTCTCCAGCCTCCTGAAACGGGTCTCTCAACCAATATACTGAGCTCTACAGAGGATATACTTGATATACATAGTTGGCTAGGATGCTGACAGAAGGCCAGCCAGAGAAAATCGGAACCAAGTTTTCTAGGAGCCAGATCCCTGCAGCTCTCACCAGTTTCATCACCCAGGGATCCACACTGGATCTCTCTGTTGTTTACTCCATCCCCACACATTGACTAATGGGCCTGGGACCGTTGGGACAAGCAACAAACTCAACATATAGCTGCCTGATAGGAGGTGCAAGAGGCAGGCCCCAAACCAAAAGAATGCTCCATTGGCTCTGGCTATGCAGGCACTTCTGGGGTCTGCAGATCTAGATCATAAAAAAGGGAGGGTGCCCTCTCCCCTGGGGGAGATCCTAGACCATTCTGTGGGAGGAAAAGTGGTTTTTAGAGCAGTAGCTCCTGCCATTTCCAGCCAGTGTTGCTGTCTCTTACACATTTCCTACTGAATTACGTCTTTGATACTGAGGGGCTTGCACAACAGTGAAAAGACTGTTAGGAAGACAAAAATTACTGGCACCGGGAAATGGGCTTATAATTCCCTCTGTAGGTTTACAAAAATGGTAGGCATCTGTCCTAGAGCACTTAATTTGACTCACAATTTACTACCAGGCAGCACAGTTTAAATAAAGTGCCCCGAAGGTTTAAAGATTTGAATTATAGTCTTAGTTCTAGGTCTTATATTCCTCCTAAGGAAAAAGTGTGGTCGCAAGTGCCTACGTGGGGTTGGACAGCGGAGGGAGGGAGGGGTGAGATGGTGGAGAGAGGAAGAGATGAACGAACCAGGTGGTCCCTGCAGTTCCTTTCTAGGACCTGGACATATATGCTGATTCTATCCGGGCACAAATCACATGATAATGAAGCTTTATTACATCAACAATGGACTACCTTGGGCAGGGCAATAATAGTATTTCAACTTGGAAATTGCTAGTCTGCAAAACATACTCTCCAGGAAATGAACCTGAATTGGCCAGGAGAGAAACAACCGCAACTGAGCAATCAATTTGGATCTTAGTCTCCATTGACCGAGGCACACAGGATACACTCAATGGAAATTTGTTGAATGCTCAATGACCAACCTTGAAATTCTAAATCCTTTCAAACTCTAGTACCCCAAAGAGCCCAACCTTGCCCGTTAGGCCACTTTTCTAAGGCTGAATTCAATATTGCCATCTCTAGTAAACTTAACTAACTAGTCCAACTTACCCAATGGTCTTTTCAGTAACCAAGTCCATTTCTGCTGCATTTTGAGTCCATACCATACCAGTTAGCACTGGTTATCAAATCATTTCATCCATATTGTTCCTATCTCCCTCCAACTAGATGATAAACTCCTCATGAGCAGAAATCCTGTCACATATACTTTGGTGACAGAACCTGCAATAACACAGTGCTAAGCATATGCTCTTAGTAAATTCTTCTGACTGACTGATAAATGGGAACTCATGATGAGGATAATAATAAGAGCTAGCAAATTCTTAAAGCGCTTACTAAGACAAGAGTGTAGGCTCCTGAGCCCCCTCCCAGATGTAAATGCCAGCCCTGATATTTATTAGCTTTTGACTTTAGGCAAGTTACTTAATCTCTTGACTCAGACTACTCATCCATAAAATAGGGATAACAGAATTCATAAGAATGTTAGGATTCTATTTCATGAGAATGTTAGGATTAAATCATCTAAAGCATGTAAATAATGCTCAGGCCAGGGTCTGGTACTCAGTAAGAACTCCTTATTGATTGTTCACTGATTGATTATTCATGTTAGCCATTCTTATTTATAACATTTAATTCTCCCAACAACCTCATGAGTTGGCATTATTAATGTTGCCATTTTACGGATGAGAAAATGGGCTACACAAAGGCTGAGCTGCTTGATTTCACGCATCCAGCAAGTGAAATGAAGCTGGCATATGAACGTAAGCAGTTGAACTTCAGAGCCTTTACTTTGCTAATTCTTGGCACTCTGTCTAGAACGAGTCCTCGCCATCCATTTGACTTTGCCATAGATCCATCTTTAACTTACGCCAATGTTCTAAAATCTCAGAACACAAATTCAGGAGGGTCGGGACTGGGGCTGCTTATTTTGAGTCTATACTATGACACTTATCCAAATTCCCCCCATTCAAAGTCAGATTCTGCTAATGCACACTAAGCATCTACTGAGTAGCAGGTGTTATGCCGGATAGTATCTCACTAAACCCTCAGAACAACTCTGAAAACATATTTTATGAATGGAAAACAAGTTCAGAGAAGATAGAGGACTTGCCTGAGCTCCCAGGATTGGTGAGGCCCAGAGCTAGGACTTGAACTCAGATTCTCTGATGCCAAATCCAACAGCCAGCTTCACTAAGCCAGTCTGGCTCTAAGTGTTTCCTGACAAAAGCGAGTAAAATGCAGTACTGACAACTTTGTATGTCTGCTGGCCAAACGCACAGGCTTTAGAATCCTGATGCCGCCACTCACCAGGGCCATGACCTCAGGTAACATATCTAACCTCTCAACCCACGCTCCCTTAGGTATAACAGAAGTAACTATGACACTGGATAGTTAAGAGGCTAAATGGTAGAATTCATTAAAGCGCTTAGCACAGAGCACACATTAAATGCTTAAAATATGTTAACCATTATTATTATCACCACCATAGGAAAAGGGGGACTAAAGTTGCTCCCTTGTATTGGTCTAGGATTTCTCCACCTATTACTTAAGGGACAGCCTTGCTAGGAAAGACAGATATTCAAATCAAATCACGGATGGAGAAACTAATGTCTGAAGAGATTGAGTCACTTGCCCTTGGTTAGGGACAGAGCTGATATTCTAACTTGCAGCGTACAACCCTTCACCGGGTCCTGCTAGCTGCTGCCTCTCTGAACTTTACGAAAATGTCCAGCATTTCACAGTACGCAACCTCTCATTCAGTTCCAAAGGAAGGCCTGATACTCCTACCACTATCCTAATTGCTCCTTTTGAGCTTTAGGGATTCACTCTGCTCCCCAACCAAAAACGGGGGCTGGGCAAGTTGCTCCAAGTGGAAAATTCAACTCCATCCCAGGCGGAAACCCCAAATCTCTGCTGTGCCAGCAGATTTCCAGGACGCGCTGGCTCCCAGAAACCACAATTACAGGCAAGCTCAAGGCAGGGAGTAATTAGGCCCATACCATCAGCTCAGCAGTCTCCTGGCCTCTCCCTTCAGGGCTGACTCCATCTCTCTACCTCTCCCATCCCCCCTCACCAAAACCCCATCTGAACCACTGCACAGCTGAGAGAGATGCAATGGGAATTTCCATCCTTTCTCTCTTCCAGCCCCCATTCCATTTCCAGGAAACTGAAGAAGGGTGGGGTGAGGGAGGAAAGAAGCCATCTCATGGATACAAGTAATGCTGAATGGCAGTAAGAGCAGAAAAAAACTTCCACAGAAGGAGAAACATTCTTGGGGCCCCTCCCCTCGTTCCCTCCTTTACATCTCACAAAGATGACATCAGGAAGGAATTTCCTGGATGAGACCCCCCAAATGTGAAAATAAAAGGGATCTTGTGAAATAGGAAACAACAACCTCAATCTCTCCAGAAAGGAAGAGCCTTGGCTAGAGACAGGATGTGGAAAAGATGACATCCAGAAGGTCAAAGGAATCTAGGACTCTAACTCTCAACCCCCAAGATCACAGAGGGGTCCTGCAGAAAGTCTACCCCTCCCACAGCTCCTTCTAATCTTGGCTAACAGGAAGGAATGCCAGGCCTTGCCTTTGTTTCTAAATATGCTGCTCTTTTATGCTGAAATGTAGGACCGATGTTCCCATTATTTCAAACTTCACACACACTTTGTACAGTACTTCCTTTCTTCCTTCCTGTGTTACTGCCCATTGCTTGGGCAGTGGATTTGCTCAGCTTAGTTTGATGACCGCCTTACACCCACCATTAAAAAGAGAATGCTGTCCCTTATAGCTCCCAGTGGTCTCAGGGCTGGCTGCATCCCTCAACCCCCATAATGCTGACAGTCTTCAGTGGATCTGGGTTCCCTGGAATCACCTCTAGGGACTCTCAGGAGGTGAAGTTAATGTTGGATAGTGCAAAAGATGGATGGAGGGGCATCTCAAATAGGACGTGGACTTCAACATCCTAAAGGTCTTTTGAACGGCGATGGCTCAGAGGTCAGAACGGAAGGTTACCAGGGCAGTTTCTCAAGGCTACTCAGAGCCCCGAGAATTCCGGTTGACTAAGAAATGCCCCCAGACAGTCTGGTACTCACCCAATTCCATCAAAACCTAACTTAAAATGCATTAATCCCATGAAGCTTTCCTTGATTTAGCCTCTCCTAACTTGAGTCCTCACAAATTTATTCTTGTACTATTACTTAGTCTCTTACAACCAAATCAAAGTGAAAAACAGTCAACACAAACCCATTCAAACCATTTATTTCAAGATATATTTCACACATTCAGCATGACCAAAAATATGAACTCTCCCTGGAGTTCATTCTAAAGAGGCCTGATTTCTATATTAAAGGGCACTTGTTTTGATACTCTTTTTCTAGGTATTCTTAGATCAATATATTTCGACATCTCTGGTTACCCCAACTAAGCTGTAAACTCCTCGAAAGAAAAGAATGTCTCCCATTTTTGAAACTTTGCACTCTCCTCTGCTGGCTCAGTAAAACATGTTTTTGCATGGGCATACGTATATATGTACACACACACACAATATTCGCTATAAAATATAGGATTCTACACACAGCATTGTTCAATCCACTTGTGTGTGGCAAACCAGTTGACAAATGGCAACCAGGACATCACAAATCTATTTTTTTTTTTTTTTTTGTAGAGACAGGGTTTTGCTATGCTGCCCAGGCTGCTCTCAAACTTCCTGGCCCTTTAAGCGATTCTCCTGCCTTGGCCTCCCAAAACGCTAGGATTATAGACATGAGCTACTGCAACTGGCCCATAAATCACAAATCTAAAAGATCAGATAGGCCGGCGCGGTGGCTCACGCCTATAATCCCAGCACTTTGGGAGGCTGAGGCGGGTGGATCATGAGGTCAAGAGATTGAGACCATCCTGGTCAACAAGGTGAAACCCCGTCTCTATTAAAAATACAAAAATTAGCTGGGCATGGTGGTGCACACCTGTAGACCCAACTACTCAGGAGGCTGAGGCAGGAGAATTGCTTGAACCCAGGAGGTGGAGGTTGCAGTGAGCCGAGATTGCGCCATTCCACTCCAGCCTGGGTAACAAGAGCGAAACTCGGTCTCAAAAAAAAAAAAAAAAAAAGACCAGATAGCCAAAGAAAAACTGGAGATATTGAAAATGGAACCAGTTTAATTAGATGACTGCCAAGACTCCTTCCAATCCTGAAGTTGACTCTGATTTGAAGACAGAGTGGGACTGTGAGAGGGAGTGAGAGAGCTAGGATATATAACACTAAAAGAACTGTAATCACAGGGTAGAAATGGGTGGAATCTAGTTTCTCTCTTTCCTTAGAGAGAGAATAAAAGGGTTCTGAGGACAAGAGAATTGCTCTCTGATTACGTCTGCCCTCTGGTGCAGGAGACTGCACTGGCCTGGGACTCAGTGCTCTGGTTCTTGGTAGCAGCAGGCGAAGTCAGGCAGTTCTGGCTTTCCAGACACTTGGGTAGGGCTCAGGTCAGAAAGGCAGTGAGAAGATCGCAGAGACTGAGAAAAGTTTCACCATGTGCTGGTACCTCCTTCCCTGGATCACACTGAACCTTTAATGATTTGACTGGTATGTGATGCCATCCCCATAATACACTAAGTGTAATGTGCCAGGAGCCTGAGCCAGAGGATGAAGGGCCTCAGTGAGACAACCTGAGAACTGCGGCATGAGCCCTGTGCCACAGGCCTAGTGAGGGGCGGCTCCTGCAGGGCCAGGCTGGCCAAGATCGACAGCCCTTTCTGACTTGTGTCAGAATCTCCCCCTCAAGGGTTCTGTGTTGTGGCAGCACAGTTAGGGGGAGGTGGCAGAGGTACCAGGGCGTGACTGAGTGGGGAAATGCAGAAAACACCTCACCTGTGTCACCCCTGTTCTCTATGTACATTTCAGGGTACAAGGGAATGACAGGGTAGAAAGGAGGAGAAAAAAACAGAGTTAGAGATGGAATAAATACAGACATGAGACGAAAATACAAAGAAGTGGGGGGAAATGTGGAAGTTACAAAAGAAAGGAAAGAGCAAGAGAATGACAGAATAAAATAGCTGGGGATAGATGGTTACGTGGAAAGATGTGGAAAAAGGCAAGAGAAATCGGCAAAAGAGAAGCAGCAGCATTGACAAGGGGAGCGAAGGCAATCACAGTATTTAAACATCAGACTGTCTCAGGGGTTGGTACAGATTCTATGCCAGCCAGACTTCCCAGACTGAGGCAGTGCTGGCAGCAGGGGTGTTAAATGGAACTTCTTATTACAGTCCTTGGGTTGAGATTTATAAAAGGGCTGTGAAATCATTAATTAGTGTGGAGTGTCTGGCACAAAACAGAATGACAGGGTGGTGGGGGGAGGAATATGTGCAGACAGAAGTGGGTCATCAGCATCTGGGAGTAAGAACCAGGCTACTGTAGGATTTTGGGTTAAGATACTTTCCCTAGCAGGGTCTCAGTTTCCAATCCGGCTACACAGAAGTAAGCATTCTCTCTCCCTTTTCCACACAAATACCACCTAAGGTGATCTTCTCTCTGACCGCCTTATCTAAAATTGCAATCCCGCATTCCTGATACTTCCTATTTTGTCTCCTTAACCACTATTATCTAACACACAGTATTATCTAACACACATTAGCTAACAAATAATTTTCTTATTTAATTTGCTTAGAACGTAAGCTCCAAGAAGGCAAAGGTGTTCTGTTTTTTTCTCTTTTGTTCTCTGTTATAGCTTCCACTCTTAGAACAGTTCCTGGAACACAGGAGATGCTCCAAAAATGCTTATTAAATGAAAGAATAAGCCTAACCCTAAACCTAGCCCTATTCAGTTCTCAGCTGCCCAAGAAAATGTAGGGGGAAACATTTCATATAACTCAAACTAGAAAATCATGCTAATCTACTTCTCACAGAATTATAAATGATAAAGGCTAGAAAGAATCTCAGCACTCGCATTTCACAGACAAGAAAACTGAGGACCACAGCCATTGTTATGGACTGAGTGTTTGTCTCCCAAAATTCCTATATTGAAGCTCTACCCCTCAGTGTGATGGCATTTGGAGATGGGGCTTTGGGGGGTGTTTAAGGTTAGATGAGGTCATGAGAGTAGGGCTCTCACGATGGGATTAGTGCCCTTCTAAGAAGAGACATCTTGCGTGCACAGACACACATACACACAGACACGAAAGACCATGTGAGCACACGCTGAAAAGGCAGCCATCTGCAAGCAGGAAGAGGGCCCTCTCCAGAATGTGACTATGCTGGCACCTTGATCTTGGATTTCTAGACTCTAGAATTGTCAGAAATAAATGCGTGTTGTTTAAGCCACGCAGCCTATGGTGACCCAAGATAACTAAAACAGCCTTTAATTGGAGTCTTCGGGGCCCCTAGTGGCAGAGTGAGAACTAGAACCCAGAGCTCCTATCCCAGGAGGCCAGTGAACTTTCTATTACACAAGGCCTTGGAATGTGTTTGTGTATCAATGCAGGGGTGTTGGCCATTCTGGAAATAAGAACACTAGAAGCTGGAAGAATGGGTTCAGCGTCTCTATCTCATCCTTCATTTAACTTCTCAGAGCTTCTTACTCTAAGCTGGGAGCCAATGGTATCTATCACCTTTGAGAGGGATCCAAAGGGAGCTGTTCTTCCAAGTCCTACTTCATTCCTTCACAAGGTGGGGAAAGGAACAAAAGGTAAGGCATGGATTTGTTTTCAAAGGCTTTTCCTCCTAGCTATCGTCAAACTACAAGATTGTACTCAGGAGTAGGGGTTAGTGGAGATGCTGATCAGGTCCATGGGAAGTAAAAAGTCAGACTTCCCAGTGTATCACCTGTAGCTAATTAAGAATGAAATAAAATAAATCCTAGGGGCAGTTTAGTACTAATGTTTCTTCACGTTTTCGAAAACCCAAGTGTGTCTGTGTCAAATCTTAAAATCATGACTTTTAGGCGGCGATCTTAGCCTCTATGAAAAGTCTGCTTATACAGTATACAATGGACTTATACTTAACATGCTTCCCAAATGACTCAGAGATCTTTGTATTTATGATCACATTTACCTTTATCAACAGTTAATGACAATTTACTGGTACAGAGAAATGCTTTAGACATTGAGGCATATATTAAGGGGAAGGCATGGTTCTTTGTCCATGGGAAACATACAATCTTGAGGAGTTAGGAGACATAGGCAAAACAGACTTAAGTTTGTGCAATGAACAAATAAGAGAAGTCCAAATCCACAAAGTGCCAACTGTACACAGAACGTACTGAGTAATAAACATCGTCATCAGAAAATGGAACTCAGCAAGGGGAGCTATCCTAAGGTTGGTGGTACCTAGCTAAGCTCTTAAAGGGTACCCAGAAGGGATAAACACTCATTTTTTATTTCTCCTGGCTTCTAAACCTGACTCTGAACCATGATTTGATCTAAACACAGGACTCCTTACTAACAGATTCATGAGCTAGTCTAATCTAGCTGGAAAACTTCTGTGGAGGGTGAAACCAGTTCATTCCAATATTAAAAGGCTCCCATTCTCCCCATGCACTCAATTCAATACACGTTAGCTGAATCTCAATCTGAACCTCTTTTGCTTTCTTCTCAACATGAACCTGCTGCCTGGAGCACTTACCAAATTCAATCTCGCCCTTCCCTCAAAAATAAATGAAAACCCACAGCTAACATCATACTCAACAGGGAAAGATATGCCCCTAAGAAGAGCAACGAGACAAGACTATCTGGGTTGGGCATGATGGCTCGTGCCTGTAATCTCAGTACTTAGGGAGGCCAAGGAGGGAGGATTGCTTGAGCCCACGAGTTTGAGACCAGCCTGGGCAACACAGTGAGATTCCATCGCTACAAAAAAATAAAATAAATTTTAAAAAGACAAGAATGTCTCCTCTAGCCACTTCCATTCAGTGTTGAATTAGGGGCTCTGGCCAGGGCAATTAGGCAAGAAAAAGAAATAAAAGGTATGCAGATGGAAAAGGAAAAAGGAAAACTCTCTCCTTTCACAGATGACATCATCCTGTATATAGAAAAAAATCCTAAGGAACCCACACAAAAAAATGAGAACTAGGTTGCAGGACACAAGATCAGCATATAAAAAATTTCATTTCTTTTTTTCTTTAAGAGACAGAGTCTTGCTCTGTCACCCAAGCTGTAGTGCAGTGGTGTGATAGTAGCTGACCACAGCTTTAAATTCCTGGGCTCAAGGGATCCTCCCACCTCAGCCTTCCAAGTAGCTAATTAGCCTGGCTAATTTTTATTTTTTAATATTTTGTAGAGATAGGGTCTTGCTATGTTGCCCAGGCCAGTCTCAAACTCCTGGCCTCAAGCAATCCTCCCATCTCAGCTATAAAGCGTTGGGATTACAGGCATAGCCACCACATTTGGACTGAAAAATTGTATTTCTACACACCAGCAATGAACAATACAAAAATGAAATTAAGAAAACAATATAATTTTAATAGCAGCAAAATAACATATTTAGGAATAAATTTAACAAAATAAGCAAGACCTATATACTAAAAACTACAAAATATCACTGAAAACAATTAAATGAAATGACATCCATGTTTAAGGAGTGGCAGATTTAAGATTGTTAAGATGGCAACATTCCACAAATTGATCCACAAATTAAATGAAATACCTATTAAAATCACAATTTTTTTGAAATTGAGAAGTTGACCCTAAAATTAATATGAAAATGAATAGCTAAAACAATCCTGAGAAACAATCAAGTTGTTGGACTCATATTTCCTGATTTCAGAATCTACCCGAAAGCTACAGCAGGCAAGTCAGTATGGGACTAGCATA